CGCCGGCCCCCCCCGTGACAGGCTGTGGGGTCCCTTCTCGCCGCTTACTGGCAGCAAGGAAAAACGGCGCTGGCGGTGGCCGCCCGCAGCAGCCACATCAGCCTGGTGGACATGATCATCAAAGCGGACCGGTTCTACCGATGGGAGAAGGTACGGAGGCCTGTGCTTGGTTTCTCCAAGTTGGAAAGGGAGCGGCGTCGGCTCCAGGTGGAGCTGGCTTTGAACCCCAGCCCTGACCCATTCTGTGGACCCTCAGTCTCAAGTGGTGGCAGCTCCTGCGTTGTGGTACCACCATGGTCGTTCATGAGGGTCTGGCGGTCGGTCAGTGCCCAAGCACACTGGGGCAGACAGACTGAGATCTGTGCATCGTGGGGAAGATTGTGGACATTGTTGACAGGTGCATGCACGCCTGCAGGCGGTGGTGCACACACGCAGGGGGTCGTCCACGCCTGCAGGGTGGTTCCATCCCACTGTCATCTCTGGGTGACTGCAACTCCTGCTTGGATTGTTGTATTCAAGCACCTTTCTGAACCCAGAAGGAGAGCGTGTGGGAATTGACTAGTGATGTCTGCCATGGAATTGGGCGAGAAGAGTGGCAGGATTTGAAGCCATGCATTTGCCATTCCCGTCTCCAGCAAATGGGCGTGGGTTGGGAAGGGTTTGGAATCTATAAGGGTTGCTTTTATTCCCAGAGAATAATTTTTGCATTTAGTTCAACTATCAACGTTAATATTAAATTTATTAAGTTATACATTTGAAATTATTAATCTTATTATTCTACTTACACAACTAGTAAATTTTGACAATCACTTTCAAAGAAGCCTTTGATTAATGTTTGGCCCCCTGTTTAAACTTGGGTAATTAAACTATTTTTTAAAATGAATTATCTTATTTAATTTTATTTATTATTATTATTTTTAATTTGCCCAGAGAGAAAGAGGGAGAGAGAAAGAGAAAGAGAGGGAATGTGAGACCTCAGGTCATCAGGTCTGGGACCTGAACTGTGGTTAGCCACATGGGAGTCCAGCACCTTACCCACCATGCCACCTTCTGGTCCTGGTAATTAAGCTATCTGAAACATTTTAAACTGGCCCAGCTCCTTTGCCTAGTGATTAAGGAAGCCAGATCCCACATGGCCAACTGTGATTCAAGTCCTGGCCCCTGCAGCCTGAAAAACATGCCTAGTTGTGTGCATATGTGCCCCAGGTCCAAATAGGATGGAGACATGGAGAAGACTGCAGCAAGACCAGGCCCTGGGGTGCTTTCCTCCCTCCCCTCCCTGCCTCTCTGTGGCAAGCTTCTTCTTTTAATTCCTTAGTCAATTAAAACGAGAATTTAAAACTGGGGGACCAGTGGTGGTGTGGTGTTTAGGGTGCTGGACACTCCCACGTGGCTGAGTACGGTTCGAGTCCCAGACCTGGTGGCTTGCTCTCTCACTTTCTCTCTATAGTCAAATTAAACAAAAAAAAAAGAAGAAGAAATAAAGTTAAATAAATAATTCTTTAAAAAAAGATTTAAAACTTAGTGAGTACATTTACTATAATAGATTTTTATTTCTCTTTTTTTTTTTTTTTTTTGAGAGGTTTTTGCTATAGGGAGCATGCACTCACCAGAGAGGCAGAGAGACAGAAAGTGAGAAATCACCCCCCAGGGGGGAAGACCACGCTGCAATCCCTTTTCCATTCTCCTCTTGGGATTTTGGACATACATGCACATGCGCCCAGCGTGAGTTTTAAGCCACTGGGTCTGGGACTCGAACTGCGGTCGACTACATGGGAGTCCAGCAACATAGCCATTACGCTAACTGCTGTCTTGAACATTCTTTAAAAAATTATTTATTTAATTATATTTGTTGTTATTATTTAATTTGACTAGAGAGAAAAAGGGAAAGTGAGAAAGCAAGCTGCTAAGTCCAAGACTTGAACTGTGGTCAGCCATGTGGGAGTCCAGTCCTTTGAACTTTTTTTTCTTTTTTACTGCCAGAGAAAATGTGTACTGACAAGAGAGAGAGGAAGAGAGAGAGAGAGAGCGAGAGCGAGCATCCCTCGTGGGGTGTGGTCACACTGCAGTCTTCTTCCCTCCATTTCTCCATCCTGTCAGAATGTGGTGTACTTATGCACACATGCCTACCATGTTTTCTTTTTTTTTTATTTTAATGATCAGTTATTTAATTAGGTTCTTGACAAAAAATTTAGAACACGAATTTGTGAGGATAAACTTCATTTGTAAGGTAGCCCTGTAGCTGAGGAACAGCTTTGATTTTTGGTAAAATTTGAGTCACAGCTTTCTGGTCAACCTTGCGCTGCTCTGAAATCTTGTATTTTTCTTTCTCTGTGTCAAAGATCTCACCTTCCTGGTGTTTCTTTTTCTTGAAGTGAGCATTGGTAAGGTGCTTTGGGATTTTTACTTTGCTAATATCAGTTTTCATGGAGGTGGTGATGACACATTTCTGGTGTGTTCTACGCAGTGGAACTCTATTGAGAACTAGCAGTCCAGTTACAAGAAGCAAGCCGCTGCTCAGCTGCTTCAGGAAAACCACTGTCTTGCCTCTGTGGCGCCCAGTGAGGATGATCAGAATGGTCCCAGGAGTGATGCTGGCTCGCAGCTTTCTCACTTGCTGAATGAAGGTTTTTTTGCCATGGCTCAACAGCTTTCGAGGCACATCTTCAGTAGGATAATACCTAGGCATTTTGTGCAGTTTAACCACCCCGGTACCGCCATTCTTGTCTCCAACAACTGGTTTTGTGACAGTCACAAGGACCTTCTCCTTTTTCTTTTCGATCCTGGATTTAGTGGCCGAGTATTTCCTCTTGTACGTGGCTTTCTGGAATATTTGGCAGATCGGGAGTATCTGCCAATGCCCCGGACTAGGACTAGGTTCTGGCTGCAATGGGGCTTCCTCTTCTTGGGCTTTTTGGCCTTGGGGTCACCCTTTTTAACCTTGCCACTGGCATCAGCCTTCTTGGCTTCAGGTTTCCTCTCCTTAGCATCCTGCCTCGTAGCTTTTCACCTGCCCTCTTGTGTAGTGGGAGAGAGCTCCTACCATGTTTTTCAAGCCATAGGGGCCAGGATTCAACCCGTGCTCAGCTGTGTGGGATTTGTTCCCTTTACATTGCTCTTAACTGCTGCTATGGACTGGGCTCCATCCTGAACTTTTTTTTTTTTCTTTTCTTTCTATAGGGCACATGTGCTCACCAGAGAGAGACAGAGACTAAGAGAGAGGAAAAGAGAAATCATCCCCCAGGGAAGATGGCCACACCTCGATTCCTTCTCTAGTCTCCTCTTAGGATTTCGGGCACACATACACACGCACCTGGCATGGTTTTCCTTTTCTTTTTTTGGAGACATTTTTGCTATAGGGCACATGCGCTCACCAGAAAGACAGAGAGAGACAGAGAGACAGAAAGTGAGAAATCTCCCCCCCAGGGGGTGCTGGCCACGCTGCAATCCCTTCTCCTCCATTCTCCTCTCAGGATCTTGGGCACGCATACACACGCGCCTGGCGTGAGTTTAAGCCACTGGGTCCGGGACGCGAACCGCGGTCGACTACATGGGAGTTCAGCGACATAGCCATTACACTAACTGCTGGTCCCCTGGCATGATTTTCAAGCCACAGAATCTGGAACTCAAACCATGCAGTCAGCCACGCGGGATCCAGCACCTTAACCTCCACGCCATCTGCTGGCCCCCGTCCTGAACTTTTTAACAACCAGAGCTCCATCCATGCCCTCTGGGCTGAATGTATACTATTACATAATGCACTCATAATAGCATATATTCTCGTTTTCTGATGCGTTCTGCATAGGGAAGATTCTATGCAACGCCCTGCTTGCTGGGACTCTGTAAGCCTGACTCTTGGCCTGCCTGGCTCTCGTGTTTTGCTGTCAATCTGCTCACATCTGTGCTGCGTGAACTCAGAGTAAAGGGAGGCAACTATCAGAGGCATTTGGGAAGGCTTCCTGGAAGAGGTGCACATGGTAGTCTTTTGACTATGGCAGTCGGCTTGAGGGGGGGCAGGTGAGAAAGGAGTTCTGGATGGAGCAGTGTGAGTAATCCAGGTTCCAGAGCAGGCCATGGAGTCTGAAAGCAGAGTAGTGGGCATTGAGGCCAAGGACAGGCCTTCTCTGGTGCCCAGGCCCCCCGGCAGAGGTCGTAACAGGGGACTGGAGGCCCGACTTGCCTGCAGGATCATGAGGGAGACCCTCGCCGGGGGTGCCCTCCCGCAGGTCCTGCAGTGCTGGGGTCTGCCTGCAGGACCACCTGTCGTGCACCGACTCCAGCAGCCCCTCTGGGAAGTGCCTGACCTTTAAGCAGGACCATCGGCAGGAAACGCAGCAGCTGCGTTCGGTGCTGTGGAGACTGGCCTCCAAGCACCTGCGGCCCCACGAGTGGACAAAGCTTGCATACTCCTGGGAGTTCACCGAGGACCACGTTTGCGCCATCGAGCAGCAGTGGACAGGTACCATCGTGCCTCCCCACCCAGAGCAACCCATGGACAGAGGCCTGGGGGACTCGTGCTCTCTTATCTTTGCATTGCCAGAATGCCCATGTATTCTCCAGAGAGACAGAGAGGTGGAGGAGGAGGAGAAAGCACCCCCTTCGGGGTGCTGGTCACTCTGCAAAGCTTTTTCCCTCCATCTTTCCATCTTGCCAGAAATTTGGGTGCATGTGCCCAACTGTTTTTCAGGCCAGCCAAGGCCAGGATTTGAACCGCAGTCGACCATGTGGGATCCAGTTTCCTTTAATCACCAGGCCATGGGGCCAGCCCTGTGTGTTCCGTTTTCTGTGCTTCTGGGAAAGAGCCTGCCAGCCCACAGCCCAGCCACGTCCCATGGACAACACGCTGCGTGCTCTTGCACTCCTCAGGGCTTTGCCCGGCCTGCAGGCCCTGCTCTTCCTCCCCCGGCCTGGGAATGCCACACTCCGCAAATGGCCTGAACCAGAGCCATCGTTGGCTCCCTGCACTAACGCCATCCCCAGGGACGAGAAGAGGGCCTGCTATTGTCACCATTTAAGATCTATTTGGCAATTTTGGCTCTGGCACCAAGGCATGAGAAAGAAAGTGATATGGGGCCAGGAGGTGGCATGGTGTTTAAGGCACTAGACTTCCAAATGGCCGACTGCAGTTCAAGTCCTGAACCTGGCGGCTTGCTTTCTCACTTTCCCTCTCTTTCTCTCTGGCAAGCACATGTGTCCTATAGCAAATTTAAAAAATAATAATAATAAATAAAATTTAAAAACTAGAAATAGGAGTGGAAACACTGGAAAGGAAGAGAATCACTAATTTCAGATGCTGTCGTTGTATACATATGAAGTCAGAGGAACCAGCCGAAAAACTCTTTGAATTCATCATTTGTTGAAATGGCTAAGTATTTGAGAATGCCATAGTGTTCCTCTGTACTATTATTATTATTTTTAAAAGAATTATTGTATTGGGACCCGCAGTTAGCATAATGGCTATGTTGCTGGACTCCCATGTAGTCAACCGTGGTTCAAGTCCTCGACCTGGTGACTTAAACTCACGCCGGGCACATGTGCGTGCGTACCCAAGGTCCTGAGAGGAGAATGGAGGAGAAGGGATTGCGGCGTGACCATCCCCCCTGGGAGGTGATTTCTCGCTTTCTGTCTCTCTGGCTCGCTCAGTCCTTCTGGCGAGCGCACGTGCCCTATAGCAAAAAACAAAAACAAAAACAAACAAACAAAAAACAACAAACCTCTCAAAAGAAAAAAGAATTATTTTATTCAACTTTATTTATTTTTAATTTTGACCAGAGAGGGGCAGAGTGAAAGAGAGAGGGAAAATGAGAAAGCAAGCTGCCAGGTCTGGGCCCCACACCATGGTCGGCCATGTGGGAGGTCTAGTGCCCCCAACCACCACATCACCTGCCAGCCCCCCCTATGTACTATTATTAAATGGCCAAAAATATATAGAATCAGGACCAGCAGATGGCATAGTGGCTACTGGACTCCCATGTAGTCGACTGTGGTTTGAGTCCCAGACTCGGTGGCTTGAAACTCACCTCTGGGCGTGTGTGTGTATGTGCCCAAAATCCCAAGAGGAGAATGGAGGAGAAGGGATTGCAGCATGGCCATCCCCCTTGGGGGGCGATTTCTCGCTTTCTGTCTCTCTGGCAAGCACATGCACTCTATAGAAAAAATATCTCAAAAAATATATAGAATCTTTTCAAAGAGTTTTCATTTATAATGGTGTGTGTGTTTCATCTGGAAACTCTTAGAAATATGAATGACATATGTAAATAAAACAAGAGAAGTTATTTGATTAAAAGAAAACTTGGGTAATTGGAATCTACTTTCTGGCAGGAAGAATTATTGTATAGATATAATTTTTTTATTCAATTAGAATAAGATTTTGACTCAATTTTAATCAAATCAAAACAGAAGATTTTTGAAACTTGACTAAAGGAGTTTACAGTTTGAAAGAATAAACAGATAATATATGAATGACTGTTACGGAGGAAGGAATAAAGAGGATCTAACCCAATCATACTCCACCTTTTATAAAATAAAGCTAAAATAAAAAACATAAAGAGCTACCTGACACAAAAATAAACTGATTAATGGAACACAGCAGAGAGGCCAAGAGTAAAGTATTATAGATAAGAATTTTCATACATAATAAAGGGGCCCTTGTAAATTACAGGGGTGGGGACAAAGATGAATAAATGATCTTTAGACACCTACTGGGTTATTGGAAAAGTCATGACACATGTTTGTGTTGGAAAACAGAAAGTTATCATGACTTTTCGGATGACCTAGTAGATCAAGCAAACTGTGGCCACACCAAGGGCAGCACCATGAGAGAGTGCCTGCCCAGGGCCCAGAGGGGGAAACCAGAAACCAAAGGAGCATGAAGGGACCGAACTGGCTTGGATGGTTGTGGCCGAGTGTCTGGGTCTGGGAGAGCAGACCTAGTGCCAGGGCCTACTGACACATTAACCTGCCCACCACCTGGCACTGAATTGTGTGGGCAGCTATTTTCCAAACACGGGGCGTATTGGAATCACCTGGGAAGCTTTAACACCACTCGATGCCTAGGCTGTACCCAGACCCAAGTACATCAGAACCTCAGGGATGGGGTAGGCCCAGGTGTCGATCTTTTCTGATGTTCCCAGGTATTTCTGATGAGCAACTGAGGCTGAGAGCCCTGGGTGCAGGAGACAGAACATAGCCAGCTGCGCTCTGACAGGCTGGCTCCCACCCGTAAACAGGGCTCGTAGCAGCAAGGCCCGGATTATCGTGAGCAGCACAGTGGTGTGTGCATTGTGCGTGACAAATGCCAGTTCTTCCTTTCTTCACAGTGACACCAGCAGGGTAAATGGTGGCTGTTTAAGGGGAAACCCTGGAGCTGGGAGGTTCTAGGGACCGAGACACACACTCCTACCCCACCCGATCTGAGAGCTTGCTCCTCCTCTCCTGTCTCCATCTCTGCGCCTGGTGGGTTTTGGCTCCTTCCCATCTGCGCGTGTTCAGAAGGTGGTACAGAGTGACCAGGACACGTGCTCTCGTAAGGCGGCCTGACTGGATTCCTCTGCTGCTGTGTCTCCCCTCATGTCTTCAGGTTCCAGGAGCTACCAGGAGCACGGCCACCGGATGCTGCTCATCTGGCTGCACGGCGTGGCTGCGGCTGGCGAGAACCCCAGCAAAGCACTGTTCGAGGGCCTTGTGGCCATTGGCAGGAGGGACCTGGCTCGTAAGAGCATGCCCAGTTCCTGCTCAGGAGCTTTGGAGCCCCTTCTGGAAGGAGGCAGGGCCCTCCAAGGCTCACCTTGTCTGGAATGCTGGGGTGCTGGCTCTGGACCTTCCAGAGTGCCCGTGCTGGCCCTGCCTCCCTCCTGAGCACCAGCTGAGCCTTGGGTAAACCATAGCCTCCCTATCAGTGCAGTGAGGGTGCTGACCCCACGAGCCCTACGTCCGTTGTGGCCCCCAAGGCCACCGATACTGTAATCTCCCCCTCACCAGGCCTCTGCACCTTGATTCCCACCCCTGCACCCCCAGTTTGGAATACGGCTAGAACAGCCCTAAACTTCTTTTCACAAAGACGAGCACATCTGAGCCCAGACGGCTTCCTATGAGCTCAACCAGCCGGACCTAGCCCAGTTAAACTTCTGAGGCTGCGCGGCCTATTCGAGTGTGCCAATCCTGCAGGCCTGATTTGGGATTCAGAGCGTCCCGTGGAACCCCCGGCGAGAGGGATGAGGTGTCCAGTACTGATCCCTCATTAACAGCGATACCCGCTCCTGCTGTGAGCACCGACATGTCTGTGGATGCGGTGCTTGTGGGGCAGCCCTGATACAGGACGGGGGTCTAGGCGGTCGCTGAGAGTTATGGGCAACAGCAGCGCGGTGCTGAGGGAAAATAGCAAGCCCCGGGGCAGGTGCAGTGGTCGTCCCGGAGTTATTACAGCCAAGGAATCACAGCCAAGGAGGGAAAGCAAAGTGGCACTTCAGGGTGAAAGATCAGCATGCCTTCTTTCTTTTTCCAAAATGTTCTTTTCCCCTTCCTTAACTAATTATTTTATCATCATCATTATTATTTAATTTGCTACAGGGTACACATGCTCACTAGAGAGAGGCAGAGAAAGTGAGAAAGCAAGCCACTCGGTCTGGGACTCAAAACATGGTCAACCATGTGGGAGTCGTGTCCCAACCACCATGCCACCCGCCGTCCCCACTCCCCAAGATGTTCTTAAATACAGTTGTTACATCTTTTAGCACAAGCTCTGGCAGGCAATCAAAACATAAAGCCAGCCCTGGGAGGCAGAGCTGAGGTAGCAGGAGCCAATGGGAGCCCTGTCTTTTGCAGAAAGCCTCAGGAAGAAAGCAAACGCAGACCCGAGCGCCCCTAGGCAGTGCACAGCCATGTAGCCACCGCAGTGGGACCTCCGTGAGGGGCCACCGGAACAGAAGATGACCACCAGCTGAGGACTGTTTGAAAGTCACTGTTAGCAGACCTCCATCCAGACGCTTTGAAGACAGAGACTCGCGGTCATGCAGAGACCAGAATGGGAATGTTTGTTCTTTTTGTCTGTTCTTGAATTTGCTATAGGGGGCATGTGGTGACCTGAGAGAGAGAGCGAGCGAGTGCACATCTCGGGGGATAACCACGCCACAATCCCTTCTCTTCCATTCTCCTCCTGGGACTTTGGGCACACATGGCTGGGGTGTTTTTTCGAGCCAACGGGTCCGGGATTTAAACTATGCAGCTGGCAATGTGGGAGCCACCTGCTTTAACCACTACACCACCCCACGCGCTGGCCCCAGCTCGTCATCCTTTTCATGAGGACTGGTCCCGGCCTGGTTCCGGTTTGTAGGTGACCCCATCCCACACACGTGGCTCTTTGCAGCTCAGTTCATGTTTACCTCCAGTGCTTTGGAACCTCACAGCTGTCCCGAGGTGCCGGGGCATCTGACAGGTAGGACGCTGAGGCTCTGCGGAGAGCAGCAGCTTGCCAGCCTGGGTCATGTGGCTTACTGGGGAGGTCCAGCGCCAAACCCAGCTCTCTTCGCACCCCACACTGGCCCACAGGCTCCATCCACCTCCTTGGCACCTGACTGTCCTCCTTTGTTCGCTGGTTTTAAGGATGCCATACTTGGGCCGGCAGGTGGTGTGGTTAAGGGCGCTAGATTCCCACATGGCTGACCACACTTTGAGTCCCAGACCTGGCAACTTGCTTTCTCCCTTTCCCTTTCTCTCTCTCTCTTTGGGCAATTTTTAAACTAATAACAAATGGAATTAAATACATAAGTAATTCTTTAAAAAAAAAAAGAATGCCATATTTTGAGCAGGTGACATAGTGGCTAAGGCGCTGGACTCCCATGTGATTGACCACAGTTCGAGTCCCATATCCGGTGGCTTGAAACTCACACTGGGTACATATTCTTGCATGCCCAAGATCCTGAGAGGACAATGTAGAAGGGATTGCAGTGAGACCATCCGCCTGGGGGGTGATTTCTTGCTTTCTCTCTCTGGTGAGAGCACGTGCCCTATAGCAAGACACTCAAAAAAAAAAAAAAGTATGCAGTATTTCCTCCACATCTGCTTCTGTCCAACAGACACATTTGTATCTGGCACACACTCTCATTCCCCCCTCATGTTTCATAAACTTTGCCAAGTTCTTAAACATTTTATTGATATTTTGAAATTATTTCAGACTTACAAAGAAGTTGCAGAAAACGTACAAAAAACTTCCAAGTAGTCTTCACACAGCTTCCCCAAACACTAACATTCTGCATGACTGCACAGGATATCGGTACGGGTACGGAGCTATTAACTCACCTTCAGATCTTGCTCAAAGGTTGACGGTTGAGACACTCATGTCCTTTTTCTAGACCAGGATCCAGCCCAGGATCACAGGTTGCATTTAGCTGTCATTCTTCTCGCTCTCTCTTAACTTTGCCCGAGAGCACAGGATCTCATCAGATAGAAGGAGAAAGCACCCTCAATGAGGCATGGTTATGTTACAACCCCTTCTTCATTTCTCCACCCATTCAGGATTGGGGGCATGCACACACCTGCAGCCAGCATGTTTTTCAAGCAGCTGGGGCTGGGATTTGAACTGTAGTCAGCTGTGCAAGATCCAGGTCCCCTAACTACTAGCTGCAAGGCCAGCCTTCTCATTTTGCATAGCTTCATATAAAGGGCCACCTCTCCGGAGAAGCATGTCTGGTAGCTTTCTGCAGTCGGTGGCAATGTTCCATTTTCTGCACTGCCCAGTCACCTAGTACTGTCACCACCAGAGCTGACTCAGTGCTTCAAGTGTGTCCAGAGAGACAGAGGAACTGGAATTTTTTTAAAAACAGTACTTTTACTGTTTGTTTTTTAAATGATGTATTTATTCATTTATTTTAATTTGATCAGAGACAGAGGAAGAGAGAGAGGGAGAAAGTGAGAAAGCAAGCCACCAGGTCCGGGACTCGAACTGTGGTCAGCCATGTGGGAGTGTCCAGCACCTTAACCATCACGCCACCTGCTGGTCCCCAAGGAACTGATTTTTTTATTTAATTTGAAATGTAAACAGGTACCTGTGGCAAGTCACGACTACACTAGCACAGCCAGCCTGCAGTTTGTTTCGCGATGCCAGGAAGCATGGCTTCTGGGGCTCAGCCGCCTAGGTAGGAGAGTGTGACTCCAGGTCAATGGGACTCTAGAAGCTTCCTGGCTGCCCAGAATGGGAGGCCATCTGTGCGTGATAACCTAGAAGTCCAGCCTGGAAGCGGTGTCTAATGTGAGCTCTGCTGCATCTGGCATAGCCATGGGCAGTGTAGGAGCCCACACCTTAGCTCCTGAAGCACTGCCTGCTGGAGCCGAGACCTGCCCAGGGCAGAGAATTGAAACCGTTGAGAGTGGAAAGGAGCTTCAGCCAGCACACGTAGCAGACGGGGGCAATATACTGTCTTCTGAAAGGCAATTTGGCATCATAAATGACAATAAATTATAAATAATTTCTTCCTGGGGCAGGGGGTGCTTTCTCACTTTCCTGCTTGCTTTCTCTGTCTCGTGTCTGGCAAGTGCATGCACTGTCCAGCAAATTTAAAAAATAAGGGAAACTGTGTGGTGGAAAACAGTATTTGGGAACTTTGTACGATTTGCCCAATTTTTCTCTAAAACTGTTCTGAAAAATAAAGTCTTAAACTAAAAGTAATGTTATAAAAAGAAAAAGCAGTTTTTAAATCAACTCATCCATTATTCTATTTGGAAGAAGTATTTTGTATCACACGGGACTTAGATCATTTTGGGAGATGAATCTGACAATATGGATTTCTAGGTTTTTTTCTGAGATGATAAAGCACATTCTTAAATACAATAAAATCAAAGTGTTGAACTCTCTCTTTCCAGTTCTTTTCTTTGGGAAATCTAACACAAAGTTGCCAAGCCAGACAAGCTGTCACGGATTGGCTCTGAGAGAGCACAACCACTCTGTTCCCCACCACTGGTCAATATTAATGGCGGGTGTTCTCAGCCAGCCAGTCTGCTTGGAGGGGCACAGCGATGTGCAGCCAGCACTTCTTACCCTCAGTCGCTTATGGCCTCCGAGGACAGCGTGTGGTCTGTAAGCCTGGTCGATGGTACGTTAGTGTCGTCCCACCGTCATCCCGTAATTATTGTCGAGTGGTCAGTGTTGTAATGGCTGGGTGCAAAGCATGGTGGGATTGATTCTTTTTCAGGGAGGATAGGAGGAAGGATCTGAGATGCTCATGGTAGACAGGTGCGGAGCGGACTGTCTAAGCAAAGAACACAGTCCCTTCAGTGGCACAGCAGTAGAGATGGATCCACCCGGGGACCGATGTGGCTGGAACAGGGAGCAGGGAAGGATGGGGAGAGATGCGCAGATGGGATGTGAGAGGGCTGCAGAGGGGGTTGGAAAGCTGTCCCCCATGATAAAACATTTAAGTCTCAGTTAATGCAGTGAGAACGGGACAGGGGAGACTCCCTCCTTGGAAACGTCCACCTGCCCCTCCTTTCGGAGTCCTGACCTTGCTTATTAGGACGCTCCTTGCTTCCGGAATGTGAGTATTTCAATGTCTTTCTCCACGTTTACTTACTTGGTTTACTGTTTCTCCCTTCTCAAGATGTATACTCATAAGCTATTCAAATAGACCCTGGGGACCAGCAGTTAGCGTAATGGCTGTGTCGCTGCATGCCCATGTAGTTGACCACGGTTCGAGTCCCGGACCTGGTGGCTTGAACTCACGCCAAGTGCATGTACGTGCGTGCCCAAGATCCTGAGAGGAGAATGGAGGAGATGGGATTGCGGTGTGGCCATCCCCCCTGGGGGGTGATTTCCTGCTTTCTGTCTGTCTCTTTCTGGTGAGTGCATGTGCCCTATAGCAAAAATCTCTCTTAAAAAAAAAAAAGACTCTGTAAGTTTATTCACGTCTATGCAAGGTTGTCAAAATGTTCATGGAGAATGTGTATTATGAAAAAGCTAAGCACGAGGGCCAGCAGATGGCGTAGTGATTAAGGCACTGGATTCCCAGTTGGAGTTCCAGACCCAGCAGCTTGAGACTCATGCCAGGTGTGTGTGCTTGCATGTGCACGGTTCAGAGCATCCCTTCTGGGGGAGTGATTCTCACTCCCTCTCTCTCTGGCAAGTGCACGTACTCTATGGCAAAAATCTGAAAACAAAACAAAACAAAACAAACCCACAGAACATTGATATGTTAGAAATGGCTTTAAAATAAGGCATTGATGGGAGTATGTGTGGAAGAAATAGGGTATTCCTTGATCAGAGACGAAACAAGACTGTCCACAAGTTAATACTGTAATTTTTGAAGCTGTGTGAGTTTTCTCTACTTTATATGTTTAAAAATCCCCACTCAGGCATGCAAAGTACCTGGTACACAGCAGCAGCTCCAAAAATGATGGTTACTTCATTTCACAGTAAGCGAATCATGCTTTAGGGAGATTTAAGTCATTTACCCAGAGTTACACAGAATCGGCAAAACCACGAGCTGCTCCTCACCAGTCCTACGCCTCTGTAGCCCGGCGGGCAGCAACGGTAATTGTGGACACCACTCAGTGAAACTGAATTTTTATTCCAAATGAAATTCCATTCATAGAAAGACAACAGTGAACACAACAACTTGCCTAATTGGAAATGAAAAGCAGTTGATTTGCAAGAGAGCAACAGTCGGTGTGGGCCTTGGCACTCTGATGATTCCACCCAAGAAAGCATAAAAATAACAGGGTCCTGACACGCAGTCTGGAGGTGTGGCATTTACAGCAGATGCCGCAGAAAGGAGGGAGGAAAAGGAAAGAAAGAAAAAGAGAAGGGGAAAAAACCCCCACAAAATCCCAAACCTTGGAAATGAACATTCACTTGAGAACACAGTGGTGAAGACTTTTGGTAGCAAAATTTTCACAATTCTTAAAATGGGAGTCTTCAAAAGTCTGTCTTCAAAAGCTGGAAAAAAAAAAGAAATCTGAAGAGGGAATAGTTACACTGGCTTAGAAGAGCTGCCACCTGTCTGAGGTGACAATCAGTCCTGCTTCCAAAACACAGTGAGAACCGGTGAGCCTGCTGCGCCTGCGGGAGGGCTGGAGGCGGCGACGGGCGCTGGGTCTGTCAAGG